ATAAATATACTAGAGGACCAGTGCACGACATTTGTGCACTGGAGGGGGGTGTATCCCTTAGCCTGGCCTGCACCCTCTCACAGTCCGTGAACCCTCGGAGGATGTCCGACTAATGGCTTAGGACTGCTCGGATATCCTTAGTGCTGCCGCGGAGGTGGGAGAGGCTCCCGCCACCGCTGCTGTGCTCATCAGTTGTGAGCCTGGCTTCTGGCTGAGTGGCGCTCCCCCAGTGGGAGCACACTGACCACCAGGGGGCAGCTCCTGCATTAAGTGTCTGCCCCTTGGTGGTCAGTGCGCATCGTAGTGACCAGTTGTTCCCCCATTCGGTCAATTTGCATATTAGCCTTTTATTATATAGGACACACACACACACACACACACACACACACACACACACACACTAGAGGCCTGATGCACAAAATTTGTGCAAGAGTAGGCCTTCGCAGCTGTGGTGGCTGCCTGGATCCCTTCCTCGCAGCCGTGCAGCTACCTGGATCCCTCGCAGCCACGGCTGCAGCCCCAGCTTCGTCTGGAAGGTTGCCCGGAAGGATGTCTGGTCTAATTAGCATATTATGCTTTTATTATTATAGATATATAATGAAATCACCCACAAGATTGCCCAACAACTTACTGCTCCCTCAGATTTTTTGCATTAAGACTGCTGTTACCTGGCCACCAGCTCTATGGGAAATGCTAATGATTTCTAATATTTCAGTTGCTGATAATAAAGGTTACCATATTAAATATAAAAGAATCTATTAATCTAAGGTCTACATCCTGGTTCCCTAAATCTAATTTAAATAATATTTTTTAAAAATAAATAAACATGGAGAAGCTTCTCAAAGTTCAAATGTCAAATAGAAATTAAGTGTGGGCTATCAATGGATTGTGTTAAAGCACTGGGTACAAAATTTTTTAAATGACTATTATTCCTACTTCCAAAAATCAATCTGCCCCAGTACCATTCCTCAATTCAAGAATTTATTTTACTTAAATTTACAATGAGGCATATATGGTATGTTAACAAGCTAAAGATGTATACACATACATCTGAGTACCCATCAATGGGTTTAGTTGTTTCGTGACCAGATTATGAGTCAACAAATACAAGGGAGAAATCCTAAGAGAGTCTGTACTCTCCACACTTATGACCTGTTGTCTATGGCTGCAAAAGAGACACTGCCTGAAAAATAAATACAATCATGAAAGACAAGATAACATTCTAGGAAGATTTCTCTTCAGGGATAGAGAATAAAATGTCTAAATCAAAAACTCCTATGAGAGCCCAGCTGGCATGGCTCATTGATTGAGCATCAACCTATGAACCAGGAGGTCACGGGTTCAATTCCCAGTCAGGGCACATGCCTGGGTTGTGGGCTCGATTCCCATTGTGGGGTTTGCAGGAGGCAGCCAATCAATGATTCTCTCCCATCATTGAGGTTTCTCTTTCTCTCTCCCTTCTTCTCTGAAATCAATAAAACAAATATTTTTTTTAAACTCATATGAGAATTTTAAAAAAAATTAACACTTGCTGGATTAAGGGCTCTTTCAAAAATTAAAAAAAATTAAATGCTTTTAAAACGTATTCTAAAATTCTTACCCTGAATATAGTGTGATTAAGTATTTAAATGTTCTGTACTATATCTCTACTATAAACTCTGAGAAAATAAGAATGGTTCTGGGTTTTACTCCATACTTGTGAGATTATAGAAAGCCTCACAAACTGATTTTGAGTAAGTGGGCTTATAGAAATGAAATTTAAACTCTCAACTTTCCCCCCAAAATACTCAAAGCAATTAACACAAAAGCAAGTAACAGTAACAAAGATGAAATGATAGCTATATTATAAGATAATAACTGGATTTTTGTAAACCCTTAAAACATAAGACCAATATGCTAATATAATTGCTGTGAGAGATAAGATAGTTTTTAAAAACTTATGTACTGGTCTATATTTTAGTATTTTTATGATCACTTTGCTTTACATTATTTTAATTTAAAAATTAAATGAATTAAAATAGTATTTTACCTGTGGATCCTGTTTCATTTGAGCAACCAGTTTCTGGTAATAAAGAGAAAAAGAGCCATCAGTCTTCCATATTAACTCACTATGGCAAATCAGGTTTGGCCCCCCCAAATCTAGAGTTTTATGATTCACACACACACAAAAATGAGCAATACCACAATCAGAACAAAAAGCTTCTGTGATCTATATAAAAGGTTAATAAGACACTCCTCTTAATATAGGGGGGAGGGGGAAGAATCAAACTACCACTTTATATTTGAAATGAAATGCTCCTGCTTTTTAACAAATCTGAAAATGGGATGAGGGTGGGGAGTGGAGTTTAAAAGGCAATTTAAACAAGCTGTATGCTCCATAAGCCAAACATCTCTTTAAAATGTTGTCATTGGGTAGAGTCCTAAATAAGGCCTACAAAGAAGCTGCTCCCATACAGAACAGGCCTGTCCGTATACAGCAAAGTGCAGAGGAGCCCAGTGTCAGATCTGACTTTGCCACTGTCTTCTGGGGGGGGGGGGGGGGGGGGGATAGGATGTACTCAGTAGGGCAATGAGGCTCAGTATTTGAGAGTAAAGAAGTGAAGGAACAATAATGCAAAACTCTACCTACCTGGGTTCCTCTGGGAAAGAGAGTACTACCAGAATATTGAATGAGAAAGACCTTTACTAAGGAAAACAGAAGTCCAAACAAATGAAAAACAAAGAAAATTGGATGCTGTCTGATCTAACCCAACTTCTAAAAGCATCACTGTCCAAAGATAACCATAACCAGTGAGAGAAGAACCTGAAAGACAAAGGTATATCAGAAAGCTGATTCCTAAAAGTTATCTGGAAATAAGCTATTCCCCAAGTGAATCCATATAACTAAAAATCTGTCCCTCTTTTGGGTAACAAGGCACTTTTAAATTTTGTTAGTCATAAAATAAAATCTAATATGTACTATATACTTATCTACCTTCTTACATTTAAAACTGTTAGCTTTGTGGCCCCGTCAATGTGACTCAATGGCTGAGCGTCGATCCATGAACCAGGAGGTCATGGTTCCATTCCAGGTCAGGGCATATACCTGGGTTGTGGGCTCGATCCCCAGTAGGGGGCGTGCAGGAGGCAGCCAATCAATGATTCTCTCTCAGCATTGATGTTTCTCTCTCTCTCTCTCCCTGTCCTTTTCGCTCTCTGAAATTAATTTAAAAAATATTTTTAAAAACCTGTCAGCTTTTATTGTATAATCTTCAGTAAATGACTTCTAACATTTATTCTAGTTGGTCAAAAGCCTTACTTCACATGCTGAGCTACATTCTAGAAAGCTGAAGTTGCCAACCATGTGACCTCCAAATACACAAGGTATGTATGTTACTATACATGTTACTTCACATGTGACAATAGTAACTCTTGTGTATCCTGGTCTTAATAACAAAATAGTAATAACACACATTCCAAGAGCTCAGTGAAATTGAACAGCAAGGCTTTTATACATATGCATTTTTACTAACACCGCTTAAAGGCTGACCACACTCTTCAATTTGGTTTTCCTTTCGATTTGATTACCACAGAGTTGACAACTATACTAAAATTGCCTTTTTAAAGCTAAAACGGATTTTCTTCCACGACACTAGAATTTAAAAGCTGACTGATAACCACACTAAGTCTCCACCTCTGAGGAAATAACTTTTCTATCTGTAAGCAGTCAAGCTGCATTTTACATCATCAGAGGCAGGACTGAACATGCTGGGCAACTTAACTAGACCATCCAAATTCCTAGGGACTCTAAGCTGACACTGTGTTATCAAACTTAGGTTACTTTCTAAAGGACTTGTATGCATGCATATAAGCATAACCAATGGACACAAGACACTGGGGGTTAGGGGAAGCCGGGGGAAGGCCAAGGGGGGGAAAAAAGGAGACATATGTACTACTCTTTGTAATATTTTAAGCAATAAAACAAAATTTTAAAAAGAATATAATTTTTCATGAGGATATACTTTATACCAAGGGCTGGCAAACTACAGCCCACAGGCAAATCTGGCCACCCACCTGTTTTTGTAAATAAAGTTTTACATGGGACACAGCCATCCCATTCATTTATATGTTGTCTATGGCTGCTTTGTCTGTACAGCAGCAGAGCAGAGTAGTTGCGACAGAAACCATAAGTGACTTACAAAGTATAAAATATATTCATTTACTATCTGGTCCTTTACAGAAAATATTGCTAACTTCTGCTTTATACTCTTCTGTTCCATGTAGAGTAAATATTCTGAAAGTTTAAATATGGCTTTTATCAATTCTGCATAAGAATCATCAAAAAGGCAATTTCTCAAAAAAGGATGAGATGCCCATCACAAGCCATTATTATTTAAACATTTATCCAACATCAAACATGTGCACATTGCTACTTTTAAACTGTCTCCCTACCCATAAAAAACAAAAATGTATTTCTGTGACACAATACCAGGTAGTTTCATAACATACTTTCTATCCAGTAAGCTCAATCTCAGTTCTAACTTCATCCCATAACTAGAAATGCACCAAGGGGTGAATTATGTCCCAGCTTAAGAGCCAGTGCCTACTTTGGTGTCATTCCAGGCATCCCTGAACTTGTCATGATCGGTGATCATGCAGGTTACCACATATCTCATCAGAACAACAAAATCCAATTTACAAACAAGGCATGTCACTTGGATTTATTTATAAAACTTAATTTTTTTTAAAAAGAGAAAAGTAAAAGTAAAAAAAACAGAAAAGTATTCTAAATGTAATTGGAATAAAAATATAGAGTGTATATGTTAAAATACTATCAATAAATGTTTATTATTACAAAAACAAAATGTATAATAAAGGATGAATATAAATGCTATTAACTTTATGCTAAAAATAAATATATAACATAGATAGTTAATGTGAATATTAAGATAGTGTTTGGGATAACTTTCTGAAGAATTTTATATCCCTTTTGAGTCAACAAATGTAATTTTAAAATGTAAATTAAATTTTAAAACAAAATTAAGCATTATATTTTTTCATAATTATTTTCATAAAATTAGTATGCTTGAGTTAAAACATGAAACAAAATAATATTTTAAAACTCTACTTAATTTTTAGTAATTTAGTTCAATTTAGGTCATGAGTCTTTCATGAAAATCTTATTGGGATTTGTTCAGATCTTGTGAGGATGAACTAAAAGCAGAATATCAACTTTGTCATCTCAAAATTTCTTGAGAGGAGGAATATTTCCAAAAATCACATACAACCTCATTATATTATCTCTGATGCATGCAACTTTCAGATTGATTACTGTTTTCTAGAAATTTATTCTACGAGGATGTCAGCTTCGAACAAATTGTGAACTTAACTGTCATCATTTGCCATACAGCCAAATTGGGTATCAGTACACCTCTATGTTAAAAAAGTTCTGTCCAGCCCAGCCAGCGTGGTTCAGTGGTTCAGCGTCGACCTATGAACCAGGGTTCGATTCCTAGTCTGGGCATATGCCCGGGTTGCAGACTCAATCCCCAGTGTGGGGGGTGCAGAAGGCAGTCAATCAATGATTCTCTTTCATCATTAATGTTTCTTTCTCTCTCCCTTCCTCTGAAATCAATAAAACAATATATTTTTAAAAAATACTTTTGTCCTGGAAAAGACAAGCTTGTTTTTGTAAACAAATTTTTATTCTCCTCCATTTGTAACAGAAGCAAAGCCAAATAAAACAAAATGTGCTTATTTTATTATAAACTAAATTGAAATAGATAACTTATTTATTACATACTAAATTTCTTAAAGTTACCATAAAAACAAAACACACTTCACACAGAGAAACCTGCCTGTACACAGCAAACTATAACACTACTGCTGAGCAAGAGTTTATTTTAACAAGATCCAAAGTAGCAGAACATACAGACTTAAGGTAAAAAGTATGTGTGTGTTTGTGTCTATATATATACATGTATAGATTATATATACTTTTGAAGCTTTCCTATAAATTCTCTTCCATTAATTCTGAGCAACTTGCAAATTCAGTAGTTACCAAAAGTCCAAGGTGTTCTTCCAACAATTTCAGAAATTAACCTTACATTAGACTAGTCAGATAAAACAAAGGAAAACATACCTAAGAACAAACACCTTTAAAAAACATTTCCTTTCTCCTATTCCAACACTCCAAACATTCAAAAGTATTTAATTCATCGTCATTTATCACTTTTTATTAACCAAACATTACATATGTGTATGTCTTAAACCTAGTACCACATTCAGATAATGTATAGAATACAGAAAGATATAAAACAGTGATATTCTGTTTATACAAAAATGTTAATGATTTAGTTATTTAAGGATAGCTTTTTATATTAGTTAGTTATATTAAATAAAATATTCTATATACTTAATGTATAAATTATATTTAGTATACAATGTATTTTATTAAAATTATTGTCATATAATCAGATATATTTTTAAATTTCCATATTTTAATGGTTTAGCCTAAGTACCTGAGGTAAAATGTAAGAATTGTGAAATTTAAACATCTGTGAAAGTAATCACATTTTCTTTACTAATGACTAGAATAGAGGTATAAAAGTAAATGAGTAAAAACTTTGATATACATGGTAGTCAAGTCAAACATGTCTCATTTAAAATATACAAGTCATAAGTCACATGAACAAAGTCCCTCAGATTAAAAAAAAAATCACCCGAGAAAAAAATTCTTTTTTAATGCCTTTGGTATATAAAAAAATATTTGTGGTTCATTTCTGTATAAAGGAAATCAGGAATATTTCACTGAAGTTCTTAAAAGTATTATCAATGAGTTTATTGAGTAGTGATAAAAAGCAAATGGCATGACTGTTGGGCAATAACTGTGTGAAAGATGATAAACAATTTGTACTAAAAATCAGAGATGGGCCTGTTTACTCATCTTAACCATTACTTAATAACATGATGTGGAATAAGACAATAATGCAACATACCTGGTGAACCTGAATTTCCACTTTAAGAGCTTCCTGTAGAGTCTGCAACTCCATCCTCCACCTTCTCCACTTTCTCTTATGTCTGCTAATTCTATAGTTTCTTCAGCCTCCGTTTAAAATAACAAACTCCTCTTCTCACTGCAGCTGCAGAGATCAATCAATGTTTTGGATCATTATGTTAGGTATAAAGGAAATATTCATGTTAAATACAATACATTTATAATAGTTGAAAAATATTTGATTCTCTAGCACAGGACAAGAAATTTCCCAAACAGATTTCTTTTCAAAACGAGTACTTTTGTAGTGACTTGATAAAAAAACTTTCTGGGTTTTATTATTTGAACATTCCTCTACACTACAGAACACTTCAAAGAAGAAAGGGGAAAATCAGTGTTTAACCTGGTCATGCAAACAGCTATGCACCTCCTACGTGCTCAGTACCATACTACACACTAAATTCTGAGGATACAGAGCTCAACAAGACCCCCTCTGCCCTAAAAGAGTTGGGAATTTAGAGGGGGAGACTACAACCATCCAAGACTCACTTCACATTCTGTCTTTAGAAAGAGACACATAACAACAGGGTCATGCATTTTTAAACATCACAAAGAGGGAACTGGAAAGTTAAGGATCTCTCAGAGGTTACAGAAGGCCAAAGTACTTTCATTTGGATGAACTTATACTGTATTTAAAAAATTTTTAAAAACTGAAAATGGTAAAACTTCACTGAAGTTTACACTCAACAAATTAATACTTTACACAAAGACAAGGCAATGTAACTATGTTTCCCACAAAGTTATAAAAGCAGTATTAAAAATAAATCTATTGTGCACAACAGATGAGGTGGTCTAGCAATGGAACAGACGTTTCCAGCTTTACAACGAACACTATCTTCTTTTCGAGGCTGAGTGCATCTCTTTGGCTATGTGCATAACTGCACGTGGAGAAATGTCAAAAGTCTAGATGTATATATGAGAATCTTCCTATCCTGCTCCGCTCCTCACTACTGCAATTTAAATTAACTCAGTGGCTAAGTTCTCTTTTAATATTTTTTCTTTTTTCTTGCATGTAGCTTTTGACATGATTTTAGGTACTCTGCCAAAGCAAAGTTTGCTTCTGTCTGAATAAATTTTAACTTTTCATCTTTGTACTTATAAAACTTGTAGTTAGGGCAACTTTTCAGCATTCTTAAAAACAGAGAAGGGAACAATCAGGAGGCTAAAATAAGCTTTACTCCCTAAACCAAGTCAATGAGATTCATAATCTTTACACTTTTTATAAATTATTTATCTATGGACAAAGTCCATTGTAAACCTACATTTTCTTAAAACTTTTTTAAAACCTGATTTGACAGTTATAATAAAATCATTAACTATAGACTATATAGTTGTCAATATTAGTTTTTATTATATTTGCTTAACCTCACTAGGCTTAAAACATCAATACTGACAATCTCTCCCCTAGGGCTTATACATTGCTTTGTAGCATAAAAATACTCTAACTTAAAATAACAATAAATTTCAAAAGTGTAAAATTCCTTCAAACTCACTTGTGGAGGCTTGAAAAGGATTATTGTACAATAATATTATCAACCAAAAATTTTATAAAGATGATATGTTTAGGGGATATAATTTGGAAAAGAAGATATACTTTGATGAACAAACCTGGGCTTTTCAGCTACTTACTATCTTAGAAAATCTTTGGAACTATAATAAATAAATAAACAAACAAACATAAGAATCATTAAGTTACTGACTTAGACCAAGGTTTTTGTTATGTAAGTTTACATTACATACAAACTCACGTTAAAACTACACAGCCATTTCCATTTTAAATACTAAAATAGTCTCTCTACTAAAATTCTTGACTTACATACTCAAGTTCTTCCTGAAAACAGTACTTAAATTAGTTTTAATTTTACAGAAAATGTATCAAAAAATGATCACAATATTTGTCAAATTAAAAATCATCTTGAAGTTAAAGGGCTATTTTCAACAATAGAAAGGCCATATTTTATTTTATTGGTAGTTAACATATAATGTCATAGCTCAACTCAAGTCATACAAACAGCAAGTTAAAAACATGGAGAACTTAGAATATAAACAACAAAGAGTTAACATATTTTACAGGTAGAATGCTCACAAATTAATTTTTAAAAACTAAAAAAGCAGTTCACTAAAGAAGAAATAACAACGATCAACAAACATGAAAAACACCCACCTTCAATAGTCATTGAAGTGTACATCTTAAGAAGATAAGTTTTGTCTATCAAACTGACAAAGACTTATAAAATAGTAATACCATGAGTGTTCTAGAGTTTGGGTCAGGTGGCACTTTCATAATTTGCCATTGGTTATCTCTGGGAGGGGGTAGTACTAAGGGTTATTTACTTTCTTATTTTCAGAGTATAAAAATTTCAAATTTTTCTATATTTTGCTATTTAAAAATATGCACTTATATTTTTAAATAACAAAAAATTAACTGAGGAATGCTAGATAAAGCATCAGAAACTTTTATACTGAGGAAATAAAATGTTCAGAAAACGAAAAAGTAAAACCTGGAGGCTCTAAATGTCAGAGTGCCTGGCAGGATAAGAAGCCTGCAGCTCACGTTACTGAGGAGCTGACAGCTTTTACTTCTTTCATCAGATTGTTGTCTACTTATTAGAGATCCACAGACACACATTTTATTTGTCAAGAACTCTAAAGGCTAATTACTCATTTTATTTCAAAATAAAACATTTAAAAGAAGGGTTAAAAAGGTAGTGATCTGTTATAGAGAAAAATTTATGGGGGATTAGAAGATATATTTGATATCCTTCTTCAAAAGGGCTCGTTGTGGATAGCAATTTTAAGAGATTGGTCTCTGCCTAAATGAACAAATTATATACACATATTTATAGCTTACAAAAACAATGCAAGCACATGTTGAATCCTTCTTAAAAATATTTTGGGGGCTTAGACAACTCATGCAGCCGTCATGTGAAGATCATTTGGGGACATTTTATAACATCATAAAGAAGGTATGATTTTGTTAAATCTGAAAAAGATGATTTATCATACTTTGACCAACTCTAATAAGTTCTAAATAACAAATAAGTTGTAGGTACAAATAAAGAGCTTCACAAAATAGTAATAGACACATTTTATTGAAGTACAATGCCTTTCACCACCCAACAGCTCTAAATGCCACCATCAGAAAGGACAATTGCCTGGCACAAAATATCAACATTTGTTATCTTCAAAACTATACATATCAAACCACTGGGACACCTAATAGCCTCTCACCTTCAAATGATAAAAAAACCAAAAACATAGACAAATAAAAACTCCACCCACCAACCATTCAAAACAATAATCAAGTCTCACTGAGAAAGGCAGCTGTGATGTATGGAAAGAACACTGTCTGTCCCCAAAAACAAACAAAAAAACTGATTCCACTTACTCACCATGTAATCACTCTCAGCCTCAGGGTTTTTAAAATTTGTTTGTATGTTTGCTTATAAATCAGGAAAATGGGAACAGTACCGCCTACTTCATAAAAATGGTATGAGGTTTGAATAAGGTAAATACCATGTGAAAAGCCCTTTGTAAACTGTAAGGTCCTATGCTATTCCTAACACACTTAGTGCTTCTATTCAGGCACATAACTTTTTTTATAAACTTCTAACACATTAGATTGCTGAGAGGATAGTATGCTTTCCTATTTTTAAATTTTCTAAAAAAGGGCTTTCCTGGCTAACATCAACAAATCGACAAACAACAAGTGCTGGCGAGGATGTGGAGAAAAAGGAACCCTCTTGCACTGCTGGTGGGAATGCAGACTGGTGCAGCCACTGTGGAAAACAGTATGGCATTTCCTCAAAAAATTAAAAATAAAACTTCCATTTGACCCAGTAATCCCACTTCTAGGAATATATCCCAAGAAAACAGAAACACCAATCAGAAAGGATATATGCACCCCTATTGTCATAGCAGCACAAATTACCATAGCTAAGATTTGGAAACAGCCAAAGTGCCCATTAGCAGATGAGTGGATTAGAAAACTGTGGCACATCTACACAGTGGAATACTATGCTGCTGTAGAAAAAAGGAGTTCTTTCCATTTGCAATAGCATGGATGGAACTGGAGAGCATTATGCTAAGCGAAATAAGCCAGTCAGAGAAAGATAAATATCACATGATCTCACTCATTTGTAGAATATAATGAACAACATAAACTGATGAACAAAAATAGAACCAGAGTCATAGAAGGATCGAATAGACTGACCAACCTATGAGGGAAGGTGGGAGGTGAGGGGGTAAGAGATCATCCAAAGGACTTATATCCATGCATATGAGCATAACCAATAGACACAGACAGTAGGGGGGTGAGGACATGTGCTGGGGAGTGGGGGCAGCCAGGGAGAGGTCAATGGGGGAGAAAGGAGACTTACGTAATATTTTAAACAATAAAATTTTTTTTTTTCAAAAAAGGGCTTTCCAACTATTTTTCTGGGTACAGTTCTGCTTGGAGATATGTGACTGCCAGGTCTTTCATTATGATTCTAATAAAGTTGTCATGCTGTAACTTTGAATTCACTGCTAAGAAACACTGCTCTGTTCCTGAACTGCTTATAAACCCTTTATCAATCAAAACTCCACTTGTCAACAAAGTTTCTTTAACTAACAGTAAGTCCATAATACATTGTGCCCCCAGACTGAATTCCCTAGAAACGGTTAGCTCTGTGTTCTCTATACTGTAGAATTACTTGGTGTAAGACTCCACTTTTGATCTATCATCTCAGAACAGTGTTTTGAGTAGGTATAATTTTTTTAAATATAAAAAGTAGAAAGTCTTGACAGATCAATGTATCCTTACTTGTCACATGCTTAATACTAGAATATCAGGTTTTAATTTGTGCAAAATACTATGTATCTAACATGTTAGGAGATAAAACAATAACTTTTAACTAATAGTGCTAAAAATTATCATGGATGCTAAAAATAATAAAATTATTTTAGTAATACTTATTGAAAACTAACATTTACTAACAGGAATCAATAAAAATGACATAAAAACCCAATGTAATATCTGTTATTGTTGTTTTTATGGTGGTAGCTCTTTGGTACCACTCCACAGGTCAACAACAAAAAAAATGCTCCTGCACAGAGCTGGACATCTTGATTTTAGAGGCTTCTGACAAGTTTACTATATTCAAATCCTGGTATTATACTGCTGACAAAAATCACTTCAACTAGTGAGATTGGTATTTCCTAACCATTAAGTTAAATTTCTACACCACACACACACACACACACACACACACACACACACACACACACACACACCTAGATTTATGATTATCTGAATGTCTGAATGTGCTTGAGGAAAAAAATATACATTTTTCCCCATTTGTTTTTTTGGGAGGAGGAGGCCAGGTCTTCATTTAAAAAAAAAAAAGTAATACTGACACAGATCATACCATTACAACCCAAGGGTGTGAGTGTTTTGAGTCAGGTCAAATCCCCACAGCACCCTCCTTCCCAGGTCTGGGGCAGTGTCCTGCACCTCTCCTTACCACCAGTGTTCATTCTAACATCCCGTTTCTACCTCAGCTTCCTGGGCCCAGGCCTAGCTGGCACACACACACACTCTTCTATTTCCCACTTTTCTTTACAGAAATCAAGCATGTTTACTAAAATCATCCCAACTATACCCAATCAGAATGTTGACGTAAATTTAAAAATTCACAGAAATTCAAAATGAAGAAGGCTGGAGATCAGTGTATAAGAGCATAGTGACAATGAGGCTAAAATTTTAGAATTGGTTGCCACATTTACCAGAATACTATTTAATGACAAAAAAATAGTCCAGACAAGTGTGGCCAGAATCATATACATATTTGCTACACAAAGGTTAACACAGAGGATATGGCAGTCTTGGCATAACCAGTAAGTACTTAATAGAAGTGGAAGATATGGGAGATAGATTTCAGATCAATTTAAGGAAGAGCTAAGGATTAGAGCTGTACAAAAAAGGAATGGGTTACCTTATGAGGTAGTGGGCTCCCTGTCATTAGAAGTATTCAAGAATGCTGCATATCATATCCCCCTCTTGGAGATTCACAATGCACATTAGCATATTAAAGGTTCTGAGAAGTCCTGCAGTAAAGAAACCTGTTTAACTTTAATGCAGCATTTCCTAAATTATTTGACTACAGAACATTTTCCTACCCCCACCCAACCTCAGTAATATTTATTCATTTCTGTGGAACTAGAGTTCCTCAGAATACATTAAAGAAAATAATGAGCTACATTTTTAAATAACTGTAATATTAAATATGTACCCGAATAACAATCTGTTAGGGATATAGGAAAAGAAATTGCCCCATTGGGTAAAAGGCTGGAAGAGAGGGCCTCTTAAGGTCTCTTTTCTAAGATTGTATGATTCTATCACATCTCAGAGTAAAGGGCGTTGGGGTCTTGATTATTTATTTAAAAAGATTCCATGAGAGAAAGGCAAGTAAAATAAAAAGGAGTAAATGCAAGGTTAACTGGTTCAAATGCCTCCCTTTCATGTTCAAAGCCCAATCCCTACAAGGAAAGAAAGACACCTCAAGGACCCTAAATTATCAAAAAGAAGCCTTAACCAAATATCTACTCCACACATTAAGTTAATTACTATTTGAGAGAGAGAATTAAAACAAAAAAAATCAAAAAGGATAGCTTTGCATTAGGGGACTACCCTATTCCAGCTATCTTGTTTGAATGTAATTTTTTATTGTAATACATGCTCTCCAAATAAGGTTAATATTTGTTTGATCCTTAGTCACTAGACTGCCCTGAGCAATCTGTGATTCTGAATTAGACGTTCAGAGAAACAATTAAGTGTGATGATTTATAAGCTGTTAAAGTAGATTTTAAAGTAGATATTAGAGAAAAAAAATGTTTACCTACATGCCCCACACTGCTACATTTCTTTTTTTTAATTTTTTCCTTTTTAAGAATTATACAAAACAACACACATTAAAAATGTAATATCTATCATGAAGCCAATCTAACATTAAGTTTAAGCTATATATAAATGCTTAAGAGTCCCAAATTTCAAAGTCAAGGTTCCCATAGTTACATTAACCTGGCCATTTTGCACATATACTAAGGCCAGGAAATTTAACAGCATATTAAGTAATACAAAACACAATGGGAACCTTAACTTTTGAATTTCCTGACTTGTGAATTTTCAGCTCTAACCACTGCATTAAGGACATTTTTGACACAGGGGACCTTTACATTTTAACAGGTTATTGAATGCAGGAACATGCAAGCCTAGCAGTATTATTAGAAACACAAATGCATTTGAGATTTGGCTATATGAAATTAGACAAAAATTCACTTTCACTTGGTGCAAACAGCAAAGCCTCATTTCTGGGAAGAGAGCTTTTTTGCAAAAATTCACTGAACAGTTGAATTATTATCCAACTAGCATCAGGAACACCTTGCCTGCCTGGCAAAAGTACTTACCAATTTTGGGGAAACTGGCCCTCCTTCAGCACTCTTGCTCCCTATAACAGAAGGGGAAAATGAAATTAGATGACAAACACAGATTTATGACATGTCATCAAAAGCTGAAGACCTAAAGATCTCTATCTGATTTTAAGAAGAAAAAAACAAAACACACAAAAATCTCCAAAGCACTAAAACCCAAAAGAAAGGAAGAGACAGGTAGTTTTTACAGCAAGAAAGAATTCAAGGGCAGTTAAATCTCTAATTTTCCAGTTTTTTCACTTTTCCACACTTTTTTCAAGATAAGGAAAAGTTGACTTTCCTTTCCTAAGAGACACACAGAAATGAAATGCACCTCATCTAAACAACACACAAATATACTCTCATGCCCAACAAATGACCTTCACTGTTTGTTGTTTTATATTAACAAATTGAGCTAACATGATTGATTGGCCCTTAGTTTGATCTACGTAAAAGGCCTTTTTTCAATTAATCTTGAAATGGACTTGTCTTCTATGAGGCTTTAAAATTCACAGCATTTTATATGTATAGCCATAATTTTAACTAAACTTTTCATTCACATTCTTAAAGTCTCACTGTTTTAGATTATAAACCATCTATATATATAAAGGCCCAGTGACCGAACAGTGGAACGACCAGACAACCAGTCACTATGACACGCACTGACCCTATAAACCATCGATATATATATATAAAGGCCCAGCAACCAAACGGTGTAACGACCAGACAACCAGTCACTATGACACGCACTGACCACCAGGGTTCAGACACTCAATGCAGGAGCTGCCCCCTGGTGGTCAGTGCACTCGCACAGTGGGAGTGCCGCTCGGCTGACCAGGATGAGCAGCACTCCCACAAGGGGCCAATCCCTGCAGGCTATGCCCCCCACCAGTGCACAAACCTGTGCACTGGGCCTCTAGTGTAATGTAAAAGTGACTTTCTCTATGCCACTTATTTAATCAGTGGGAAAAAAGTCAGGGAAAAATAATCAAGGTTTTGGGATCCCAATCCAATGCTCAGTGATGCTTTTATCAATTGTGTTTTCAAAAGATTAATAAACTTCATTAAGTTGACTTCAAGGTGAAAAAAGTCAAGCCAGGCTATACTGTGTCCTTTTAACTCTTCCTGCCCCAAATTTTTCTCTCTCAAAAAAAATTAGGAAACACAAATTTAAACTTCCCCCATAGTATTTTAGTATTAAATTATTTAAACTCCACATACCATGCTCTACACCTACAAATACCCTCCTTATGCTTTAAACATAGTACGTTTGTTGACTGATGTCACTTCAATAATGGTCTCATTTCCTCAAGGGATATTTTAAGAAGTCTTCATGTCAGATTATAAAATTTTTATTTAATCATATGCAGTCATATCAAACATATAGTAATTTAAAGGGCCTGAATTTGTGCAGTTAACATTCATTTCCAAAATGTTCCATCCTGCCTTTTCTTTAGTAGCAGTACTTTTTTAAAGTTCTCAAGTCCATATAAAATGGCAATTTCAATTACCAAAATTAGAAAAACTCTCAAACAAAAGAAAAATCATGCAAAAATCTATAGAATAATATGGTTATTAAAAAGTGGATTCTTAACAATTTTGAATTGTTAACAATGTGTGGTGATATATTAACTAAGTTTATTGTAATAATCATTTCACAATACATACATATATCAAATAATTATGATGTATTTCTAAAACTAATACAATGTTATATGTCAATAATATCTTAGTTTTAAAGAGTAGATTCTTAACATTATGGATACCTACAGATTCTGTAGCACTTGAAATAGTACCGTGCACATAGCAAATGCTCAGTAAATATTTGTTAAATGAATGAATTCACTGAGTGGACCCTTAACTCTCTGTTGCAGGTTTATTTTCTTGTTAGTTTTTTCATGCTGGGGATAATTTGTTATGCATCAATCCCCCACAGCATTATTTGTCAATGAATGACTTTGAACAAAAACATTTAAGAATTATTACAATTTTAAAATATCATGAAAAGGAAAAGCCTGATAATTTGGACTAAATTTAAATTAGAACTTCTGTTCATAAAAAAAAAAAACCACACACACACACACACACACAAAAAAACATTAAGAGAGTGAAAAAGCAAACCACAGAATTTGAGATGCTAATTCCAACACATATAATAACAATGGTTTATACTCAGAATATATAAATCATGTTTAAACTCAAAGTGATCAGACAGGATTGGGATGTTAACTATCACTTACATGGCATTTGAGAAAGTATTAAACTCTTCTGAAAAGTCATATTCAGTAAAAAGGCACCCTGGAGGCACACCTTACCTCCAGGGCATTTCTCTAAAAAGCAGCAGTCAATCCCAAATTGATAAAGAATTTTACCATGATATCAACTGCTTGCAGAGTCGCACAGGAACAAATAGAGGTTAAGTGACTTACTCAAATGTCACACAGGTAGTTTGGTAGTCAAGCTGGAGAAAAGCTTATGGCCCCTAGATTCCTTTGACTGAACTGGCCTTTCCATTAGACTTCACTTCCTCTTAACCAGCAGCAGCAGTTATTCTTCTAACAAACAAACTACAATAAATAATGGCCAAATATTTTTTGAAAAGTCTACATATAATGTTTAAAGAAAAACCACATAAGTAAGCTATCTAGGGCAAGTTTTAAAGCCTGCAATCCTTTATGCCTGAGGGATCCCTGGGAATGGGCTTCAGAGACCTTTGCCAACTCCATGATACTATGTGCTAAATTCTGTATGTATGAAAATTCTGGAAAAAGATTCATAGCTTTAAAAAGATTCCCAGAGGTTCAGATACCCCAACAGAGTAAATTATTTTTAGACTAGTGATTCTTAGACACTGCATCAGAACTACTAAAGTGTTTCCTCTGAAGACTGATTATTAATTGACTATTATTTGGAAATTGTTGAGAAAAAAAGAAAAGGAAATATTTTATTTCTATAATTTAATATGAATAAATTAGCCGCAAAAAAGATTTATATATACATTTTTACTTTTTGCACTATTGGTACAAAAAACCTATTTTAAGTCTGAAATGCAAGATTGATTTTTCTCTTGTTAAGCTGACTGAAAGTCCACTTAATTTGCTTCTCACATATAGTTCACACTTTTGGCTAAAGTAGTTCAAAATGTTCACATTTGCTCAAATTTTTAAAATATATATTTGTTCTTGAAAAATACATTCAAAATATATAAGTTGAAATGAATGAAATTATTTTTGCTTTAGTCATATTAACTTGCTAACATAACTTTACATGAGTTTTTACAAACTTAAGATTATTCACCTCAGATCCTCAAAGACAGATGCTTTACTTAGAACTGGTAAAGAAATTAATTATTCAGATTTCTGATCTGGTTGTAAAATTTAAAATATCAATAAATCAAAGGTATAGTAACTACTTATTATCTTTATATAATGTCTAAAACCTCTGTACATGAAGAATATACATTAAACAAACACATTTTGCAGAGAAAAATGAAATGTTCCATACTAGATCATGGTTTTTTTGTGGTTTTTTTAGATCATGTTTTTTTATTAATCCTTACCTGAGGACATTTTCCCATTGATTTTTAGTTTTTTGTGTTGTTGTTTTTTTAGATCATATTTTTTTGTTAATCCTTACCTGAGGACATTTTCCCATTGATTTTTAAGGAGAGTGGAAGAGAGAGGGAAAGATAGAGAGAAACATCGGTGTGTGAGAAACACATGGATTGGTTGGCTCCTGCATGAGCCCCAACCAGGGCCTGGGGCCAGGGAGGAGCCTGCGACAAGGTACATGCCCTTGACGGCAATGGAACCTGGTACCCTTTGGTCCGCAGGCCAATGCTCTATCCACTGAACAAACCCAGCTAGGGCCTAGATCATGTTTTAAATTAGGCTAAAATTCATCCCACTACAAATTTCAAATGATTAAGTTTACAGTGTATGCTCAATCACAAACTTTGGTAAAGGACTAGAACAGCACAGATAACTGTCATTCAAAGACACTTTAAAATGTCACCTTACACAGAAGATTCGATCTCTTCTCTTTTTCTACTATAACAAGCTGATACACTAATTTTATATACAATAAGTTTTACTGCTTTTTATCAACCTAACTTCTAAACAGAAAGCATATTAAATTTGAAATAAATGTAAATGCAAGTAAGTGCTCAGAAGAAAAAGCAGAATCCTGCCTAATGGGATTTAGTCCTTTAGGCCCCAATATCATAATCATCTCTCTTGCCCCCATCTCTCTTACTCTCTCGTGGACATCCCTCTCTCATTCCCCCCTTACTCTTATTTTTTCCCCCCTTACTCTTAAGCATCATTTTTCCCCCTCATTACTGGGTCATTTTGTTTCTTCTATCTTTAATTTTTTATGTAAAAAGCCTTCCTTTACTCCATCTCTAGTTATTGTTCCATGACTATACTCCCATTTATAGCAAAAACACCCTCAAGTGTTAACCACACTCACTGTTGTCTCCTAGTTCTCTGTTGAACCCACTCAGATAGGCCTTTTGCCTTCTTCCATTCTTGTTGAGATCACCAATGACCTCTCAGTTGCTAAATACAGTAGTAAAGTCTCAGCCCTCACCTCTTGTTCAATCAGTATTATTTAACCCAGTTGATAATTCCTAACTTCTTGAAACCTTTTCTTCTCTTGATTCCCAGATCACTACTCACTCTTGATTTTCCTCCTAATCTCTCTGACCAGTCTTCTGGGTTTCTTTTGCTGGTCCCTTCTCATATCTTAAAACCTCAAAATGTTGAACTGCCCCAGGGTTCAGTTCTTGAAACTCTTCCCATTAGGTAATCGCACTCAGTCTTGTGGCTATAAAAGGATATGTGTACTGGTGACGGACACATTTTTATCTCCAGCCCAGACCTTTCCTTGAATTCCAAACTCATATACCAAATGCCCACTAAACGCTTGCCAAAACTAAACTCTTGGCTACTTACCTCCCAACCTCCTCCTCAGAATCATCCTCATCACAATAAATGACAATTCTATCCCTTTGGGCCAAAACCTTAAATTTATCATT